TAATTTTACAGGTTGTTACCCCTTTATTCCCCAAACGTCACATATTATTCCCCTATACCTACACGGAGGTACTGAATAGGTAATTACAAAAAAGTTACGCTGTAACTTCAGTTTACTTACGCAGTTCTTTGCAGGTTGCATATCTAGTTGTTATCCCCTTATTACCCAAACGTATTATACCTACACGTGCGTTCTTTATAGGTACACTATAATTACAGAAACGTACACCGTAAATTGAGTATACTTAGTTCTTTGCGGGTTGTAATCTAAAGCGTTACCTTTTATTTTTAATAAAAATAATTTCTGTTCTGGTGGCATACAGAGCCGAAATTATGAAAATTGGGTCAGTGTCTATACATCCTACATCATCGAAAATGCCACTCTTTCACCTGGCTCTACGGCGCGTACCTGCTGGCTGCGCGCTCCTCCCTAAGTGGACGAGGCTTTTATAATTGATGTGCTCGCTCTTATATAATTCTGTGAAACGACAGGGGGCGACTCATAGTAATTGTTCTCCAAACCATCAGAAAGCAGTGGTGAGAGGAAGTAGTTTGGCAAACAATCGATTTGTGAGAAGTTTGTGAAGGTTTTTTTTTTTTGCATTCAGACTAGGTCCAGATAGGTTTCAGCCTATAGGGATACCTGCACTGGATGGCCAATTTCACATGTATTTTGTGTACTTTCAAAATACAAAATACTGTATTTGTGTTTAAATAAATTTTTCCACACAGTATTTTGTATTTGTATTTAATAAAAAATTTCCACACAGTATTTTTATTTTAAATACATTTTCATGTATTTATGCCCACCTCTGCTGACAACTAGGGTGCTTTTCATTGGGTGCAGCTAATAAAAGTGTTCAGGGTTACACAGTGGGAAGAAACTGTGTGAAGTTCTGGTGGGAACAGGAGAGCGGTGTTTTGTCCCGCAACTATGCTGCTCCACAGTCACCCTGCTGCGCCAGCTCTGCAACTGGAACTGAACAATGTACATGATTCGCTAAGCTAGTCACATCCAAAGCCATATCAAAAGCCCTTGCATTTTTACTGTCCTCAATTAAACTTTGGATGCATGTCTCGATTTCTGAAATGTTCTCTGGCTGCATGACTATTTCCCTGCATTAATCACATGTAAATTCCTCATCACTGACATAGAAGACTACATTAAACATGTGGCAAGCAGTGCAAGTGACAGCAACATAGAAGCAGCCATGATTCACTGTGACTGTTGATGCTAACGTATTAGAGTTCTCTGATGGACTCATAAAAGTTGGAGCAAGAGAGAGAAAAGAGAGGGTAAAGCACAAATGACAAGTTAGCATGCTAATGAAATGCTGTGCTACGCTGCTGCACTACACTTTGGCCAGTAGGTAGTGCTGTCACACACTCATTTTCCGATTTCATGCAAATTTGGTGTAACAAAATGTTAATAACTTGACTGGAATAGCCACAATATGACATGAACAAAACTTGATAAATAGTGAAAAAATATGTTTGACAGAAACTATACAGAAATCAAAAGCACCTGCTGCATTACACTTAACATGGATTCAAGGGATCTGCACTTACTTTTTCTCCACCCAGTTCAGTTTTCACCCATCCTGGGTGAAGGGCCATGCAGAGGATCTCATCCGCCTTTAACTCCTCAGCAGCTAACACAGTCAGCGTGTTAAAACCTGCCTGACATACATAGCATCAGTGTTATACATGGACATACATAAAGGGCAATGTATTGAATCCAGTGCAAAAAGTAGGACTCTGGTGTACCTTGCTCATGGAATATGGCAACACTGTGGACTGGATGTGGTTGGAAGGCTTTCTGGTCATGGATCCCGCAACAGAGGAGATATTGATGACAGCTGCTTTATTACAGGACATGCCTGGTGTCCCGCTGGCTTTGGCTGCTGTTTGTAGATATTGTAGGTACTCCTGCATAAAAGAAAGAGAAAGAATTACATCATGAAGGTAGCATTAAAATGATTTTTGACTATTGGCATCAAGTCTACTGCATATTGTAACTTATTCTGGCAACTCAATTGTACTGCTTGGCTTACTTAATTACCCCTCTTCAACCCTAGTGGCACATAAGGCATTATGATGTTTCCATAACAATATAGATTTTATAGGATGGAATTTTTAGTCCTACACCCAACCCCCAGCCTGGAGGACCAGGTGCTACCTTTGGTCTGGCCTCTACCCTGGGACCTGGCCGGCTTGGTTGAACCTACCAGTGTAGGATGACCATATGGGCCGTTTTTACGGGACACGTCCTTGCCAGGATTTCGATATTGCCTAAAATATCCAGGTTTGGGCTGTTTGCACTGTGCAGATCAATCGTTGTATGACATTCGCGAGAGCAGAGCAGACGGCTCCTTATGCTTTTGAATCCCTCTTGCGGTACTTTGATGTCATTCAATGATCGGTCTGCGCAGCGACGCTTCAAGTCGAACGAACGAACAAACACACCTTACACGTGCGCGTATTTGCATCGCTTTGATTTTCTCTGTAGATCCCACCTTCTCACACACCATGATTGGTCGATTATGTACAATGCCTGCATGTTATTTGTCAAACTACTTTGGATGTTTTAGGCAATATAAAAATCCTGGCCAGGACATGTCCCGTATAAATGGCACATATGGCCACCCTAACCTGGGGCTTGGCCCCCACCAGCACAGCTCCAGAGAGTCACTGAGACAAACAAGCAACCCTACCACAACAGGTAGCAGCACAGAGGGAGACTGCTTGAGTAGTCATCTAGAAAACAGATCAACTCCATTACTTCATACTACTACTACTACTGATAAAAAAAAGCAGTTCTTCCCCTAAGAGACGAATTGTTGAATAAAGTCGTTATTTTTGTTTTCTTCGCATACAAAAAGTATTCTCATCGCTTCATAACGTTACTGTTGAACCACTGATGGCAGATGGACTATTCTGACGATGTCTTTCATACTTTTCTGGACCTTGACAGTGTAATTTACTTGGCAGTCAATGGGACAGTCACAAGCCTCCCGGTTTTCATCCAAAATATCTTAAATTGTGTTCCGAAGACAAACAAAGCTTTTACGGGTTTGGAACAACATGGGGGTAAGTGATTAATGACAACATTTTCATTTTGGGGTGGAGTATCCCTTTAATGACTTACAATGGGAAATTTTTTGTTTTAGAGCTCTTAGCAGTGAATACTACATTACCCTAATGATTAATAAGGGTCCTATAACATTGGTGTTAAAGGTGTTTTTCATGTCTTCAACACGACTGGTATGAATTGTGCCTCTTGCCACGATTGCAGCATTATTCACAAGCAGGTTCAAACCATTGTTTCCCAGTAGAGATCCCACTTTTTTGGCAGACTCTTTGATACTGCACGGATCATCAACATCTAATAGTAGCAGAACAAATATTAGTCCTAAAGTGTTAAGCAGTGAAATGGAATAATATAAAAAAACACACTAAAAATCTCTTTGAAATTCCCCAAAAAACATTCTAGTTAAAGTCTTAAATACACAAAGGAGGACACATGCACATTTACCAAGACGTATGATAGTGATCACACTTGGATGCTTTCTCGCCAGTTCTCTCAATGCCTTAAGAAAGATAAAATGCATAATTAAACAAGGCACATTAGGATTTCTCCTGGTGTTTCTATTTGTTTAATTATTTACAACTCACCTCAGACTTTGGTCCATCTGGGTCACGACAGGTAGCAAAAATATGTTTTTGACAGGAGTTCTCCAAGAGTTGCTTAACAGTTTCTAAGCCCAAGCCCCGGTTGGCTCCGGTGATCAAGATATTGCATGCTTTCACTGCTGCCATGTTCTAAGTTCATCAGTCTGGGTCATCCAACCTGCTCTTTTGAAGTGCTTTTTATGAGAACCCAAGTGAACACCACGCCCATTTTGTACTGGTTTGTGCTGTGCATATTGTGCTGCATCATACTGTTTGTGTTATTGAGGTTAAGAGGAAAGGATAAATGACATGAATAGTCAGAGAGAGAGAGAATTACTCTCGCTCTCTCTCTCTTTCTCTCTCTGACTAGTCATGTCATTTATCTTTTCCTTTTAACCTCAATAACACAAACAGTATGATGCAGCACAATACAGAGTCATCTAGAAAACAGCTTGATCTCTGCTGTTAGCTCAAATATTAACATACGGGCCATTTTTACTGGACGCGTCCTTGCCAGGATTTCGATATTGCCTAAAATATCCAGGTTTGGGCTGTTTGCACTGTGCAGATCAATCGTTGTATGACATTCGCGAGAGCAGAGCAGACGGCTCCTTATGCTTTTGAATCCCTCTTGCGGTACTTTGATGTCATTCAATGATCGGTCTGCGCAGCGACGCTTCAAGTCGAACGAACGAACAAACACACCTTACACGTGCGCGTATTTGCATCGCTTTGATTTTCTCTGTAGATCCCACCTTCTCACACACCATGATTGGTCGATTATGTACAATGCCTGCATGTTATTTGTCAAACTACTTTGGATGTTTTAGGCAATATAAAAATCCTGGCCAGGACATGTCCCGTATAAATGGCACATATGGCCACCCTAACCTGGGGCTTGGCCCCCACCAGCACAGCTCCAGAGAGTCACTGAGACAAACAAGCAACCCTACCACAACAGGTAGCAGCACAGAGGGAGACTGCTTGAGTAGTCATCTAGAAAACAGATCAACTCCATTACTTCATACTACTACTACTACTGATAAAAAAAAGCAGTTCTTCCCCTAAGAGACGAATTGTTGAATAAAGTCGTTATTTTTGTTTTCTTCGCATACAAAAAGTATTCTCATCGCTTCATAACGTTACTGTTGAACCACTGATGGCAGATGGACTATTCTGACGATGTCTTTCATACTTTTCTGGACCTTGACAGTGTAATTTACTTGGCAGTCAATGGGACAGTCACAAGCCTCCCGGTTTTCATCCAAAATATCTTAAATTGTGTTCCGAAGACAAACAAAGCTTTTACGGGTTTGGAACAACATGGGGGTAAGTGATTAATGACAACATTTTCATTTTGGGGTGGAGTATCCCTTTAATGACTTACAATGGGAAATTTTTTGTTTTAGAGCTCTTAGCAGTGAATACTACATTACCCTAATGATTAATAAGGGTCCTATAACATTGGTGTTAAAGGTGTTTTTCATGTCTTCAACACGACTGGTATGAATTGTGCCTCTTGCCACGATTGCAGCATTATTCACAAGCAGGTTCAAACCATTGTTTCCCAGTAGAGATCCCACTTTTTTGGCAGACTCTTTGATACTGCACGGATCATCAACATCTAATAGTAGCAGAACAAATATTAGTCCTAAAGTGTTAAGCAGTGAAATGGAATAATATAAAAAAACACACTAAAAATCTCTTTGAAATTCCCCAAAAAACATTCTAGTTAAAGTCTTAAATACACAAAGGAGGACACATGCACATTTACCAAGACGTATGATAGTGATCACACTTGGATGCTTTCTCGCCAGTTCTCTCAATGCCTTAAGAAAGATAAAATGCATAATTAAACAAGGCACATTAGGATTTCTCCTGGTGTTTCTATTTGTTTAATTATTTACAACTCACCTCAGACTTTGGTCCATCTGGGTCACGACAGGTAGCAAAAATATGTTTTTGACAGGAGTTCTCCAAGAGTTGCTTAACAGTTTCTAAGCCCAAGCCCCGGTTGGCTCCGGTGATCAAGATATTGCATGCTTTCACTGCTGCCATGTTCTAAGTTCATCAGTCTGGGTCATCCAACCTGCTCTTTTGAAGTGCTTTTTATGAGAACCCAAGTGAACACCACGCCCATTTTGTACTGGTTTGTGCTGTGCATATTGTGCTGCATCATACTGTTTGTGTTATTGAGGTTAAAAGGAAAAGATAAATGACATGACTAGTCAGAGAGAGAAAGAGAGAGAGAGCGAGAGTAATTCTCTCTCTCTCTGACTATTCATGTCATTTATCCTTTCCTCTTAACCTCAATAACACAAACAGTATGATGCAGCACAATACAGAGTCATCTAGAAAACAGCTTGATCTCTGCTGTTAGCTCAAATATTAACAGTGACTGCTCTTCTCTGCTTGTTAATGATTTGCAAGTGTAATAAACAGTTGCAGCTCTTTTAAATAAAGGTGCAGTCTCTGAAAGACTGTACAGAAAACCAAATTAGTAAAATATTTTCAAATCTTTTTGCCTGGTGTACTTAAAAATACATTTGCATACTCCTGCATAGTAGCTGAAATTAATTTTCCACAAGCTCTTGATTTTTATTTTACAATATGCAAAATTCCACAAGCTCTTGATTTTTATTTTACTTGATTTTTATTTTACAATATGCATGTTGTCCAGTATGTGTTTTTTTCTTTCCAGGGAACAATCACTCAATCACAGTGACATGTATGTAACTACTCGGATGCTTTACAGAAAGATAATATGCTGTATATAATAATATTTTACTTCAAACAAGACACATTTATCGTTTTTCCTTACAATAGTCAATGTTCAAACATGGTGCAATGACTGACTTTGGTGATAATCAGAAGACTTAGAGTGGACAGTGAGATTATACATAGTAGTAGTAGTAGTAGTAGTAGTAGTAGTAGAAGAAGAAGAAATAATTTAAGTAGTGTATTACAAACCTGTTATAATTTTGTCCACCTTGTTAAGCATTTTAACAATAATTTTATAATGTCAGTGTAACCGGGTAAACTATGAAGTACACTTCAAAAGCAAATTATATTTTTCTTGGGGTTTATTCTGACTGCTGTGTTTGAATAAATGACAGTGGTTGATGGGGGCAAAGTTTAATTGAACAAAAGTTTAGAAAAAAGTCTAATTCAAATGTTTTTTGGTAACACTTTATAATAACTTTCAGTTATAAATCATTAACAAACATTATATAATGTTTAAATAATCATTAATATATATTCACATATCTAGAAATATGAGATAATGTGCTTGTTAATGTTAACTAATAAACTTATTAAACATTACAAAATGATTAACAGATCATTATTTAATGTAAATTGAAATGCTTACAAATGTCACCATTCTCACCAATCTTTCAATTCATATGATCATGCATTTTTTTTTTAAATCTTCAAATGATTTTGACAGATGGTTTACAGTGATTAAAAGCTTCATTAATAAATCATTAACAAACATTATATAATGCTTAACGGATCATTAGTTAATGTTTACAAACGTCATTAAACTTTCAATGCGTTTTAAAAATCTACAAATGATTTTAACAGAAATTATACAATGATTACAAGTTTATTTGCTAATGTACTTTTGAATTCTTACAAATGTCATTAAACTTCAGTTCACATATTAGCTAATGCTCATTTTTACATTTACAAATGTGAAAATATAGCTTAATTAGTCATTTTCAGCACTTCACAAACTATTCATGTTAATATATTCATTAACTCATAATCACAGTCTGTAAAGGTCATACATTTGGTCTTTGTTTGTTGTGTAGACTTCTACTATTTGCACATCTTAAATTATGTATTAATAATTTGTTTAATGTTTTTGCAGTACCCAATCTAAAGTGGAAACTATTCATCAATTGTAAATGTTTATAAACATTTACTAATCATTAGTACCTTCATGAGCAGTAATTTTGATTCCAAAAAGTGTCCCAGATGACCGGAATTCACCCTATTTTCACATCTTTACAAATCATTTATTAATCATTTGTTCATGTTTTTGCAGTACCCAATCTAAAGTTGAGACTATTCATAATTTGTAAATATTTATAAATAATTAATTTAATATCATTTATCAAAACAATGCAATATAAACAGATTGAATCGTGTTCCCTTATAGTAATCAAATTGACCCCGTACACTGCTGACCACTTACCCAACACTTAAACCAACCCATACACCACTTTACTTTATAGCAATGGGTCTGATTGAAACACCTGAATTCAAAAATTAAGAAGTGTTTCCCAGTACTTTTATCCAAATAGTGCACATATCTCTGTCTTTAACTGAAAAATTAGTGTTTACTATTGTCATTTTGCATTATTGACACACTATTTTCCTAATTAATGCTGTTCAGTTGCTTTGACACAATCTGTATTGTTAAAAGCGCTATATAAATAAAGGTGACTTGACTTGACTTGACATATATTTATTACCAGAGAAGCTTTTAAATGGACAAAGGGATTCTAAGATAATGTACACTTTTCCCATACATTCACAAGTCTTTTAAACTGTTCTTCAATTTTACATAACAGGTTGAATAATTTTGGTATTCCGTTAATAATAAGTTTGTTTCATAAATACTTAATTTTATTTGCCTGAGCTTGGCCAAAATAATTTTTTCACATGTTTACATCTATCATGATTACACAAAAAGTTATTTTAAAAGCTGTTTGATTTTCTATATTTTATGATGTTCAAAAGACATTGAATGACTTTCATGACCACTTATATATAGTTCAATCATGACAACTCTCTGAAGATTTTAGCATGGTGATGGATATGACAATGTGGTCTTGGCGGAACAGATCTGCTACGCTGCTGCTGAATTGCTGCTGCTGTTGGTTATTGCTGTAGTTGTAGATTATTGCTGCTGCAGCAAGCAAATACAGGAACTTGCTACTGCCAATGCATATGGCAATACGGTGCCGTGAGTATTTAAGACATACTGCTGCTGCACAAATAGCATATAAAATAACCCCCCAACAAAGCTGGAAGAAGAAACAAAACAATTAAATATGTATGCTGCTGCTATACAATAATATGCTTAGAATCATCCCTATGATGCAGAAGGAATATAAAAGATAAAAACCCCCAGAACAAGCAGATCTATTGCCAAGATATATGTACTGCTCCACCCTGTAGTTGTGGTGTCATATGCCCAGGACTAATTCTGCCTAAAAAGCAGCTGCTCATTTATTTTGAAAATTTAAAATATGTATATTGCATATTAAGAACAATAATGTTTGTATTGTATGAACACATCATTGCTAAATGCATGGCTCGTTCCTAGATGGCCTTGAGAAAGATACTACAGTGACTTTATTTAAATGCAGTTGTCTGCTTTTATATTAATTGTGTCCAAATTAAAATTCGCAACATAGAAATGCTGTGCATGCTGCTGCTGAGAAAAATCTCGATGAATTAATGCCTATGCAAGCTGCTGCTACTGCACAAGAGACTGAACTGCTGAGAGCTCCATTAATTAGGCATATAAGTAGCTAGGAGAATGCCTATTTTACTCTAATGCGGTGTCTATGCCAGACACGAGCGGCACATGACAAAGTCAATAGTCCCGTTACGATAGGTAAAGCTGTCTGCAATGTATGCAGTGCGATACGGCCAAGGCAACAAAATTTCTGCTACTGCTGCTATTGATAGTATTCACTAACATTTCAATACTTTGACTTGCTATGCATGCTGCTGCTAATATTATTTCTAACCTTGCATCTGAATTTACTATGCATGCTATAAAATTTGCTAACATGCGATCTGAATAGCTATGCATACTGCTGCACAAAAGTACTTTGCTACTGCCCCTTTATTAAATAGCCAAACACAACCAATTAATGCTTCTTTCACTTATGCTGCTGCTATTAAAATTCACTAAACTAGCGATCTGAATAGCTATGCATACTGCTGCTACAGCTGCACAAAATGCTATAAGCGTCTTTATTAACAAGCAAATGCAATCAAATAATGCCTTTTTTCGCTTTTGAAAAGTTCACAAAATCTACTGTAAGCCCGGTTAAATAAGCAAATAAATAAAATGCGTATTTCACTTTAAAGAGTTACTTACCCCATGCGTTATCACTGAAATTTCAAGCAACTAAAGTACTTTCTGCTGCCGCTGCTTTATTAGCAACAATAATTTGACTTCCTGATGCTAATATTATTTCTAACATTGCATATGAATTTGCTATGCATGCTGCTGCTATTAAATTCGCTACATACGATCTGAATAACTATGCATACTGCTGCTACAGCAGAATTGTTATAAGCCCCTTTTAAATAAACGAAACGCAAATGATGCCTATTCACTTGAGGAGTTCACATACCATCCATTTTTTAGTCACTGAAACTTCAGCAATTGTAAGTTGCTTTGGATAAAAGCATCTGCAAAATGAATAAATATAAATATAAACTATGGTCTACCTACTGCTGCCGCAACTAAACGCATAATTTGATTTGCTATGCATACTGCTATTAATACTTCGCTAATAACGCAATCTGAAGTTCTATGGATACTGCTGCTACACTCCATGAAAGTATACTAGAATTGCTGTAGCCCATCCATGCATTATCACTGAAATTTCATGCAACTAAAGTACTTTCTGCTGCCCCTGCTATATTAGCAATAATAATTGGTTGCTATGCAGACTGCTGCTAATATTATTTCTAACATTGCATCTGAATTTGCTATGCCATTCTGCTGCTATTAAATTCGTTAAATATTGCGATCTGAATAGCTATGCATACTGCTGCTACAGCTGCATGAAAGTACTTAGAAAGTACATAAGCGTCTTTATTAAACAATGAAACGCAAACAAATAATGCCTATTTCGCTTTAAAGAGTTCACAAAATCTCTGTACGCCATGTTAAATAAACAAAGTAATAAAAGCCTATTTCCATTTTAAATACTTACATACCCCATGTGTTATCACTGTAATGTCATGCAACCAGATACTTTCTGCTGCCGCTGCTATAAATAACAGTAATAATTTGACTTGATTTGCTATGCATACTGCTATTAACAATTCGCTAATAACGCAATCTGAATTCTATGATACTGCTACTACGGTCCATGAAAGTACTATAATTGCTGTAAGCCCAACTGAACACACAAATAGTAAATTCCAGTTTAAGAGTGTCCTACTATTA